GATCATTAGGCAATCCCACCTCAAACAATAAACTAAATTAGGTAATCATGCCTAGATAGACATGAGATGATCGTTAGGCAACCTTATCTAAACAATAAAGTAAATTAAGCAACCCTACCTAGACATGAGATGATTGTTAGGCAATCCTACCTAAACGATAAACTAAATTTGACAATCCTACCCGAATATGAGATTATAGTTAGGCAACCTAGCCTAATGTAGTTCATCATTTAGGCAACTCGCCTAGAATGAGAATGATCATTAGGCAATCTTGTCTAAAACAACGAACCGAGATAGGTTATCTTGCTTGAAATGAGAATTATCGCAAAACAATTTGACCTAAAATAACAAACTAAGCTAGGTGACCTCGCTCGAAATGAGAATTATCGATAGATAAACTAAAATGATGAATTAAGTTAGGCAATCCTACTCGAAAATGGGAAATGATCATTGAGCAATCATGGCTAAAACGATGAACTAAATTTAGCAACCCTATCTAAAAATGAGAAGTGATCACTAGGCAACATCGTGTAAAACGATAAACCAAATTTGATAATCTTGTCCGAAAATGAGAATTGATTGCTAGGCAACCTTACTTAAAATGACGAACTAAGTTAGGCGATCCCACTCGAATATGAGAATGAATGCTAGACAACCTTGCCTAAAATGACGATCTAAATTAGGCAACCTCGTTTGAAATAATGATTTATTACGAGACAAAACTCGCCTAAAAGATGATCTATGATGAGGCGACCATGCTTAAAAGGATGGTCTATAGTAACACTTCCTAAAAAGATGGTCTATTGTGAGGCACGATAACTAATTATTTGAACTTAGGATTTTAAAATTGATAAATTAATTTTTATTAAATTTATTTGATATAGATAAATAATTAGTTGTTGTATGAATTGTGATATTAATTATTCATATACAAATTTGTTCCAGCTAATCGAGTAGCATTGTCAATTGTCACTCTAACCACTCCGAGTAATTTTTCAACCTCTCAACTCATAAGGTAAGTTATTGAAATCCCAATTGATAATTTATGTTATATACTAATTTTAAGTTAGTTGTGATAATTGATATTGTATTTATTTTATTGATGATTGTTAAAGTGTTGAAATATGTTGTAACATATTGAACCCGAAGGGTCGGAGACCCTCGGGAATTGAAGAGAAATAAGACAATGTCAATATTTTGTGATGAAATTAGAAAGACGTAGATTGAGTTTTAATTTAAAAGCATTATCGGAGGAAAGTGTCGGTCTTGATGTGCGCAAATTGATTTATTTTATTACTTGAATATGACTTTTGATTGATATTTATGTGACGATGATTAATTGAAAATGTTTATATATGTTGTGTTATGTATTTTGGACATATAATTTTTTGTGTAGGTGTTGCTTTTTGGAATTGAAAAACATCTAATTTATATGAGAGACTCTATTGACATTTTGTTAGATTTTTTGAAGAATTGGTAATGAAGTAATTGTGTGTTGGCTTAGATATATAGAAGGAAATATGAGGTCCGATCGTACATGAATGAACTTTATGCTTATCAATGAGATTTACTTTTAATGTGTTCTTACGTCATATATATATATATATATGATTTGATTTGACTTTATATTATATTATTTTAATTTTATTCAATAATATTTTGTGTTATAATTATAATTTTTGTTATTGGCTACTATGATGGAATATTGAAACGCCTATTAACAAAATTTAAAAAAATTCTTTATTTAGTGACTGATCACTAACCGCCTAACAAAAAAAAAAAAAAATAAACTCTCAACGATGGAAAAAAATCATTAAAAATAATGATGGATGTCGACGATCGGTTGGTGACCGCCATTAGCGACAAAAGTTTTGTGATTGATTTCTATATCTATATAGTGATGAAAATAAAACTACTTATTGACGGATTGACGATAGATTTTATAATAACTATATAACTCGTTTATAACGAAATAGCGATGAAAGTACATCAAAATAGTAACAATCAATACATTGTAAAGGAGAGGAAGTTTTTAATCCGTTGTTTCTTCGCTATTCTATCTCTAAACCAATATAGCGATAGAAATTTTGGATATAGCGAGAGAAATTTCCATTGCGTTTTTTTTTTTTTTAAGTGTTCTCCGTCCAAAATGCCATTAGAGTTCACATGGAATACATGTGTTGCACGCTTGGTGGCTGACACGTATGCCATGTAGATGCCAACGATATTGATTTAATCGCTCTTTTTTTCAAACTACGGGATTCAATGAAACAATTCTTGGATTACAAGGACCTGCACAGCCATTAAACCATGGATCACAAGGCATGTGATCTCATTTTTCAACCCTATGAACAAGCACATAACCGCAGCCAACCAACTTCGTCTATGGTCCTTCTTCCGAAACACGATGAACTAATATTTCCCCGGATTTTACTGGTCCCCTTGAACTTCCTCCATCAACTAGTTGATCCGCAAAGGGGCACAGTAAAAAGTCTCCCTCTACAAGAAGTCAAGTCCTGTACATAACATAAAATTAGATGGTGTGTTTTATAATTGAAACTCACATGGCCGCCGACCCCACGATTCCCAATTACTAACATTTATCTCTCTGAATTTATATCCTACTCTGGTTTACTTAGAATAGGGTAACGTCAACATCCAAACGTTTGTACTATATTCCAACTATGCGTGTCATTATGTAATTTTTGCTAGGTCAATAGATTCTGGACGGATAAATATTTAAAAATATAGAATTTCATCTTTAATATAAGTGGAAAAGCATACTTTATTAAAATATCATCACAAACATATTAAACGATGTTATTTCGAATGATCGAGTCTAATTTCATCAATCGAAAGAAATAGATTACACACCTATTGAACGAGAATATACAACAAAAATGAAATTCGTCTAAATAATATTAATTAATACACCATCATATTATTTCTTATAACATATCAATATCAAAGAAATTTGTTTTTCAAGTGAACGTAAAAAGTTATTAGCAACAAAAAAATTAATCATTTTATCTCATTTCATGCGACTTGATAAAAATTTTGGCTAATGTCATTTTATTCTTCTCCATACAACTTGACAAAACTCTTAGTTATATAAATAGTCAAAGGACTTGAGATTTTAGGTTCTAGAGTTTTTTACTATCACGATGTACTATTTATTATTTTTTAAAATATTTTTATAATTATATTACTGTTTTCTCAAACAACCATCATCTTTTATTTACTAACTTAGTTATAGAAAGATTTTTGAACTTAAAAAAAAAAAAAAGGATTTGTTTTACAGATATTCTAACTAAATTAATCTCTATTTACTATCAAACTTTATCACTGAATTAATTAAGAAAAAACTATCTCATCATACATTATCAATAAAAATAATTGAGTACCTTATCAGTCTGAGCATCAAAACAAAAGATTCCTTTGTTTGCAATAATTGACTTCTTCATCCATTGGGAGACTGACAGTCTAATGAAGGATTGTTTGTTGGCCTTCAACAATGTAATGAAGACATTTTGGGAAAAGAAACATGGCAATAGCATCATAGCATGGACCGATTCTTAATTTGTACATTATGAATTTTGAGAAAGAGAGGCAAAAGAGCAGTCTTTGACGACATGCATCATGTTTTTATTCATCATTTTAGTTCTTCTTTCTATTCTTAACGTATAATGATCTGTTGTCTGTTCTAACTTTCTTATCCGTACTTTCTTTACAGTTTTTAAACCGGTTTCGCTCTACAAATTTCTGAGGAAATTTTCAATAAAACAAAATAAAATAAAATCACTCTGTGATTTTACCTATTTGCATTTTAATGACACGATTTCGGTTTTGATAATTTAGTGATTTGTAGTCTATTCTCTTGTTTTTTTTTTAAAATAACTGTTTGATCGTTAAGCCATCTTTTTAGATTTTTTATAACCTACTAAAGAAGCAATTTACTAGTTACCACCTTGAAATCGCTTGGGAAGCAATTTCAATTTTCAACTAGATAGGAATGGAGATATATACGGGGACTTTAAGCACAGCATATATATATATATAACTTCTATCCCTATTTCATATTCATCAAAAGCAGGATGAAATTACAACTTTTATCTCCTTAATTTGTAAAGTTTGGGGCGAGTTTGGAGATTCCCATCAATATATAGATGCATACTTTTTTTATTATAAAATGTAAAAATATACAGTTAGCCTATTCAAATATTGATTTTTAATCACAATTTCTATAAGTACATGCATGGTGAAACACAAGTAATTAATCACAAAATAAACTGGCAAAAGTTTTAAATTATTTTCTAAAAAAATATAATAGAAAAAAGGGATTTTTTAAATTTATATGATGTATTATAAATATGCGTATAATAGTGTTTGGGGATTAATCTGCTTAGGGATCGATATGTTTTCCTTCCCTGTTTTATATCCGTATAAAGGAAAATAAACCTCCCATGTACATTTTTGAGGTAAGTTTTAGTAGAACTTCGTAAAGGTAAAGAACGTTCCCATTGTTACTTCAATACCATATATAAAAAAACACGATTTTTTTTTTAATTTATTGGATAATCTCATAGTTCTTAGGGAAAGATTTCCGGAATACCTAAAATTCTTGCCAATCTTTCTAATGATGTAAACCTCAAATTTTTAAATAGAAATTCCAAGTCTTAACCGCTGAAGTGGCACTTACCATGATCAAGGAAGAATAGTACCACAGCCACCAACCTCATCCATGGTCCTTATTCAAAAACAATATAAGATAAACCAATGGCCATGAATGCATATGCAATCATCCACCACCTTCCAGAATACCCCTCCTAAAATGACACAATCACCCTTCACATTCAAAAAAACTATCTCTGCCTTCCCCACTCCAACTCACACACCCTTCCACCTCCCTTTCCCTATATATACCTCCTATATTCGGCAATTACCTCCATTGCCAACCACCATCTTCCTGAAAGGAAAGAAAGCAAATAATTGTAGCAAAAATGGGCTCCCTTCCTCATATAGTAGAAGATTGCGGGGGTGTTGTCCAACTCTTCAGTGATGGAACCATTTATAGGTCCAAAAATATAGGGTTCCCCATGCCAATCATCAATGACGACTCCGTCCTCTTCAAAGACTGCCTCTTCGACAAAACAAACAACCTCCATCTCCGTCTCTACAAACCTACTTCAATATCCCCTACAAAGAAGCTTTCTATCATACTTTACCTTCATGGAGGTGGCTTTTGTGTAGGCACGCGTGAGTGGCCCAACAATCACAACTGCTGCCTTAAACTAGCTTCTGGGCTCAACGCCCTCGTTTTATCCCCTGACTATCGTTTGGCCCCAGAACATAGGCTACCGGCGGCCATGGAGGATGGATTTAGTGCCTTGCAGTGGCTACAAGCTCAGGTTTTGAGTGACAAAGGTGATGCATGGATCAATGGTGGTGAGGTTGACTATGACAAGGTTTTTGTTTTGGGTGACTCGTCTGGGGGCAATATTGCACACCACTTAGCCGTTCAGATCGGGGCTGGTTCGACCGGGTTGGCTCCGGTTCGGGTAAGAGGGTATATCCTACTGGCACCATTTTTTGGCGGGGTTGCCAGGACAAAATCAGAGGAAGGGCCTAATGAACAATTGCTGAATTTGGAACTATTGGATCGGTACGTTAACATAATCTAATTGATTTCTATCTTTATCACAAGTAATTGTTATAATAATTACTCAACTTTGGAAATATTTAGACCAATCCAATCAAACTATTTCGATCTAAGTAGCCAAAATTTATATATATAACAATTTCTTGTCCGTTACGTCATTAGATCATACTTTATCATATTTACTATATGAAACATGTATGATGAATTTTATATATGTGTATGTAAACATAAATCAAAAGCCTGTGCGTATTTAGGTAGAATAGGGCTTTTGATTTATATATATATATATATAACATGGTCGACATTTCATATTTTGCTGTCAAAAACCGTGGTGTCTTTCAATTTAGACAGTACTTGAAAATAACTCTATGAGAAATAATGCACACACAAATCCCTATCTTTTGGGAAGTGGCTCATTTAGTGGGATGTGTCGAATATATTCTGTACCTAGGGCACCATCCTGAATTTCACCACAAAAGCGATGCCAGCCAGACGAAATTGTTCAACCTTAATGTGATATCTAATTGATTTGAGAAGAGAAAGTAGGAAATAAAGAAAGAAAAAGGACAGCAATGGAATCAAAATTTGCGGAAAGTAAATGATGTAGTAATATCAAAGGTCAGAGTCAAAAAGATGCGGCCTTTTTTCATTAATCTTCACAAATGACAACCTTGTTTTTGCCTGTCAACATGTCTTGGTAAAGATATAATTATATAATATAATTACTGTTTGAAATTAGTAATTAGACTGAAAAAAATCCTGAGTTATTAGCATATTTTGAGGTTGAAAAGAATATTCACCTTTTTTTCCCCATTCATATGAATAGGACCACACCATCAATTTGACAAAAGATTAGATTGATGGTGCATGTGTTTGCTCCCTTTTATCCGTACAAATGGGGTATGGTGCAAATTGACACTTGGCCATATTTCTCATGAAAGAAATATGAAAATCACACACCCACCTCGCAGGCTTTGTGACTCATCCATTCTATTGCTCCACCTGTCACCGTCAGTAATCGAGAGGATTGGTGGTGTCAATTTTTGTGGTCATTTTTTTCTTCTCTTTTGTCTCCCTTCTTGTAGTTGTAGTTTCCTCAGATTCATCCTCAATTCCTTTGCACGCTTAATAAAGTATATTTTGTCCACTTGAACATTCCATGCAATAGTGTAAGATCGATGTATTAGGGATAAAAAGTGAACCATTAATTATCAATTCGGAAACAAGGACAAATTTGCATATGATTTGTATAGTTTCACTAACAACATGTCTAGTATTGGTGAACAATATTAATTGCTTGATTGATTTCCTGTCCTCCTTCTTACCTTGAAAATAAAGAAATGATCATCTTCCCAAGTGTTTTGACAATAATTCATAAGATTCAAACATTTGAATTAATTAAACATGCTAGGCTATGATCCAAAAATAGGATAATCTAAAATACTCAATGCATGCAACAAAAATCAAAAGCTAAGATCTGCCGAAATCAAATGAGAAGGTTAGCATGCTTTCTGGAAGAGGAACATTAATAACTTTAGTACCTACCTTATGTAACCTATGGACGTGTAGAATTCGTGCATGTGGCACAGTCTATGAATAAATTATTATAGCTTGGAAAGGACTACAATATCTCTAGCCTGGCCAGATAGAGGCTGATTTCTACGCAGGATAGGAGTGGCTGAGATAAGATACACACATACACATACACATACACTACAAGTACAAGGGAACATTAGGGCCAGCTTTACGCAAAAATTCCTTCACCGAAAAAGTTCGTGATAGAGCCATATCCCTGGTTTAGCGTGTGCTTGGGTTGAGTCATGCTCATTTCTCTTCTTTGACGTGCCTGGTTTTCTGCTTGAATTTTGAATGGGTCAGCAAAAATTTAATTAAATTGTCTTATCTGCAAATAATTAAAGTTTCAATCTTTTTACAAATTAAACGTGACCAAATTCAAAGCCACAATTATTGCTTCCAAGTCCAAAACAACTAGAGCACATGATCAGAGGTCAAACTCAAGGAATTAAAATACACCACTTGGCTTTTTACCAATCGTAAAACACCACACCAATTCGGCTTTGATTGTCGTTAGTGGATTCTTATTTTTATGGTGCAAAAAAGTAATTTTATTCTTATGTAATTGTTTTATAAAATCTATTTATTAAAAATATATCAACCATTAAATTTATAGAAATTACTAATAAAATCTATTTATTTAATATATGAAATACTGATTTGGTTTTTTCAATAGAATTTCATAAAACAATTAATTTCTACAGTTTCTAATGTTAAATCCCACCACCTGATCATGGTCCATGATTAGTTCCATGTCACTAATATATATATATATATATATAGTACATCTCTTCTCTTCTTTTTTTTTTTTAATACAATTGAGTAGTTTTAATGAAAATTTTTAAAGAGGTATGCATGCCTCTACCAATTGTGAATCTAAATTTACGTGTATTTATGTCAGCAGAGCCGCCTTTCCAGTGAGGTTTTTTTCGAATCTGTGCGCGTGTGTGCATAAGAAGGGGAAAAAAATGACTTTTATTTCTTTTCGAACAGAAAGGAAAAGAAAGCGATGCCATGAGAAACAAAAAATTGGCTTAGCTTGCGAGCACATCACATGCTTGCAACAATGAGATGCTCTTGTAGTGCCCAATCCAATAATAACACAAATGCCTCCAAATATATTAGATAGTGCCTCCTCCAATATCATCTCATGATCTCCTTATCTTGTGAAAAGTTGCCCACTATACTTGAAGTTCCTTACGTGCAGTCCAAATTTTTTTACAATAATCTTCTTTTATCTAGCAGCATAAAAAAATATTGCATTTGAAGATTAAATGTGATATCGCTTTTATTAGTTATGCATTTGAAGATTAAATATTGTATGTGTTTCCGCTATTTTTTCTTTTTCTTTTTGTTTTGACTAATTAATTAATTTAAGTTAAACCACAGGTTTTGGAGGCTATCTATGCCTGATGGAGCAAGTAGAGACCACCCATTGGCAAACCCCTTTGGAGCAGGTAGCTTGAATCTTGAACTGGTGGCTCTTGATCCAATCATGGTGATTGTAGGTAGTTGTGAATTGCTGAGAGATAGAGGAGAGGATTATGCGAGGAGGATAAAAGCCATGGGAAAGAAAATCGAGTATGTTGAATTTGAGGGAAAGCAACACGGTTTCTTCACCAATGATCCTTACTCAGAAGCTTCAGAAGAAATTATTCAAGTCATGAAGAAGTTTATGGTTGGGAACTATAGTTAATTGAGTATATATATGTATGTATGTATGTATGTTAAGATTTCATCTAGTCATTACTGGCTACCTAGCTTGGTATAAGTACTAGTTGCTTTTTCCGGAGAAATCATGAGTTATTTAAGTACTGGTTACTTTTTTCATGAGAAATCATGGGTTATTTATAATTTATGGACTTCAAATATATTTTACAAGTGGTAGTTTTTATGTATGAATTTTTAGTATGAAATGTTGGTTTGTAAGTCATTTTTCCTTTATTTCTTTATAGGCATAGGCATGAGAATAATTTAATAGATCAGGTTGATGATTCTGTTAATTATAGGCATAATTTCTTTTGGTGGTGAAATAATTACAAGGGCGGCTAAAAAAAAAAAAATTGGTCTAGCTAACCACAAGCCTATGATCATTAATTCTCTTGAATTTACATCATTAATTAAGCTTCTTAATTAATTACAACTTCAAATTAATAACCAATGCCAATAGAGAATTAATTCTTCAACTAATTAATTAATGATGCTTTAATCTTACTTTTATATGTTTCTCATGATCACTATATATATATATGATGCTAGCTGATCATAATTAATAGTAAAAAGCTCCAATATTCATGATATTTCGGAAACCATATATATATAAGCCAATTAAGTCCCATGTCGGAATTAATTTGTTTGATTAACTTAATTGAGGATGATATATATATGTGTGTGTGTGGGTATAGATATTATTTCCATATGTATGATAGTGAAATCCGACTTTAGAAGAAGGTAGTAATGATGATCAAATTAATGCTTCAATTAGCACTGATCCATACGTGCAGTAAATTAACTTAATGAAATGTAATCATCACGTACAATTAATATGTTCCTTTTTTTAATTATTACTAGTTAGAATACCCATTTAAATTAAACTTATCCACTCCCTTCTACGAGATTTGATAGGTTCAAAATCTGCTCTCTATGCACTCGTGACTTCAATCAATTATTGATATATTGCTGCAGCATCATGTTGATTAATTAGTACCTAGCTAGTCAAACAATATCATATAAATATAGTACCAATCTTATCCTTTGTTAAACAATACTAAAAACCTATATAGCAGCCATAGAAACTAGGAAGGAACAATTTGTTTGTCACGGGTCCAGCTGCTCATTATAATTTTTTCCACAATATCATAAATGTGATTTATTTGGAAATCGAGGAAATGTGATCATCTTCCCACTAGACTTGATTAAAAAAAAAACTCAAAGTCATTTTTTTCGTTTCTGTCAGGATATATATCTATTGGGATTATTGCTTTTCAATTGGGTCTTGAACAAACTATTTATGATGAACAAGCAAATGATGCAATGACTAACATGTTTCTTTAATTTATTTAGCTACCTAACATTTAATGTGACACTTAAAAGGTAAAAGAACATAATTAATGTGACACACATGCATGTTGCCTACCCATCCAAAAAAAAAAACATTTATAAACTTGGGTTGTCTACACGATCCGCACAATGCAATTTTGCTCAATCTCCAAGATAAACAATCTATGTGATGATGCTCGATTGTAATTAAGCATATAATTGCCTCACGCAAGCAAACTACTTTAGGGCAAAGGAATTACACATTTTTTTTATCTGCAACTTTAAATCTTAAGTCAAACTTTTATTTTATATAAAAACTGAAAAGCTGCTGTAGTGCCACATAATGCAAAAACTTTCCACAAGATTTTCTTCTTTTTATTTCTCTAGACCTAACTTTCCACGAGATCTGGTGGGTCCAAAATCGAATGTAGATCTATCAAGATGAAGTACATGCTATAATGCCTAAATTAAAACACACATATTTTTTTATAATTGATCAAACTAGGTGTACAAAAGCTTTATAAAATTAATAATATAACCAATCAAATAAAATAAAAGTAAATAGTAAAAAATATGAGAGAAAAAATAGAGAATACTATTAAGATGTAGGTCAAGTGGTAGGTAGGCTAGTGGATCAAAATCCAAACAAAAAAATTAAATCGGATGAAACTTTACATATTATCTTGTGTGTTAGTAGCATAACTTTGATAGAGAATTGAGAGTTTTTTTTTAAAGGATCAATACTTTGGAATCTCATCACAATAATATGAGGTCGGTATCTATAGTAAATTGAAGATGATTATTGACCGTTAAGATCTTACCATGTTATTTATATTTAAATAGTCGGATTCGAATTTAAAAAATTAGGTTTTTTTTAGATTAAATTGTTTCAATTTGCTAGAAATTTTTTTTAAAAAAATGACAATTGGGTCTTTTTAAGCGAGATCTTATTTCGAACTTACCAAGTCAATCTTTCTAATATATCTTAATGACAAGATATGAACACTAACCCTACTAAAATATATGTGTCCATCCTCATATGGCCTAAACTTTGTGCTTGATAATGTTTATTTTCAATTAAATTTATTCATTATGTAGTTTGGACACATGCTTTTATATATATATATGTGTGTGTGTGTGTGTGTATGTATGTATATGTATATATATATGTGTATGTATGTATATGTATATATGTATGTATGTATATGTATATATGTATTAATTTATGGTAAAATTAACTAAATTATTAATTGATTTTTTATGAAAAAAATGAGAACATAAAATATTTACCATCGTAGGTGATAGTAAAAGTAATTGGTCACTTAATGACGTGATGTGATTCTATCCTCTATTAAACAATAACAATAACAAAAAATATAAATCTATGCGATGTGATCCTATCCTCTATTAAACAATAATGTGATGTAATTTTCCAGTCCTACTATGAAAAACTTATGACAAATTTGTAAGATTCTACTAATTGATATGAATGGAAAACTTTATTCAAGAAATGAATCAACAAAACAAAATCACAATGCAAGTTTACAAGAAGAACGGAAAAAACAGAAAGAAATCTAGAGAGAAATTACAAAGAGAAAATAACTCGTTGCCAATAATTGAATTCTAAGCTCTCTTCCCACATTAATATTGTAGCCGTTAGGCTAAAAATAATCCTAACTAAGTAATAAAAAACAGCCACATCATTATTTAACAACTTACATACATGTTTCACATTCTCCTATATTCATCCTACGTGCCATCCACATGTTCTTATAGCTAACTCATATTCTCCACATAATTATCTACCAATTCCCTCCTACAATTGTAACCCCAAAACCCATTTCCTTCTAACTTGTATCAATACCCTTACCTAAGAGATCTTGTTCTCAATGTCAACATATAGAAAATGTCTCTCTAACTTAAAAGAAAATTCCCAAGTTGCATATAATAGATATCCATTAGATTATTGGAATAACATTTTGATGACAATTTGATTGTCACATTTAACCATTTTTCTATCCGGAATAGCCACTATAAATGTTGGTGTACCAACCGATATAAATAACTTCCCTGGAACTTCTATTTGGTCATAAGCAAGTTTTAGTTGAGAAACATAGAATGTGGGATAAATCAATGAATGAGAAGAAAGCTCGAGCTTGTATGCTCACTCCCTAATTTTATCTATAATCTTGAAAGGTCTAAAATACTTGGAAAATAATTTTTTAATCTTACAAACATTGATAGATTGTTGTTTGTAAACTTGTAACTTTAAATACACTCGATCTCTAACTTAAAAAACTTTGTCAAACCTTCTCTTATCTCCTCGATGCTTCATTCATGGTTGGGCTTCATTCGTGGTTGGGCTTTAGTTAAATAATACTTTGACAATTCAATCATGTCTTCTTTTTCGATAAAATTTGATTCAAAGCCTCTACTTTGTAATCATTTGGTAGATATGGTAAGTGTAGAGGAGGGAGGTGGCCGTATAATACCTCAAAAGGATAGCTCTTGATGGTGGAATAGAAAGAAGTGTTGTACCAATATTCTATCAAAAAAAGTCACTTCAATTGCTAAAAATTAAAAAAAAAGTCATACAACGAAAATAAGTTTACAAACAACGATTGACCTCTTCTATTTGATGATGGTATGCGGTAGAAAACTTTAAAGAAACTCTTTAATAAGCAAAAAATTCATTCCAAAACTTACTTAATAAAACAAAAATTAATCTTGTCAAAAATAATATTATGGTACAATCCATGAAGCTTATATACAGATTCCATAAGCACTTTTACCATAAAACTAGTAGTATATATAAGAGTGAGATAAGACTATAAAATGAGCATATTTATTTTACCTATCCACCATAATAAAAATCATAAATTTGCCTTGTGATAAAGGTAGTCCTTCCATGAAATTCACAATAACATCCGTAAATATAGCTTGAGGTAAGGGCAAAGGTTTAAGTAAACTTAGATCGGTAATATTTTCATATTTACATTATCGACATATATTGAAATTGCAAACAATCTCTCTTACCTCTTTAGCTAAACACTTTCAATACAATAATGTTGCTATTCTTCTAGTTATAACTTTAATTCGTGAATGTCTACCTACTCGTTGAATTATGAAACAATGAAATTAATTATTTTCTTAAATTTAAATCTTTTCTAACTACTAGTTTACCTGTTCTCTCCCTAACTCGTTGATCTTGTCATTTAAATTCGGATGTGAACCACCGGGTTCCTTTAGTTGTGCAATCACAATTTTTAGGATGGTATCTAAATCTCAAAAAGATTGAATCTTTGATATCAATTCTATAGAAATCGATGATATGATCAAGGTAAACAACTTTGTTCTAGATAATGCATCGGTTGTCTTATTCTCTTCATCTTTTTTTGTATACAATCTCATAATCATACCATATTAATTTGACTAATCAATCCAATTACCTAGTTGTATGAATTTTCTATTCCAATAAATATTTTAAACTTTGATGATAAAATACATGTTAGCTACGTATTGATGTTATTTTCTAACAACGAAACAAGATAGCAAAGAGCTTTTTTTCATAAACAAATAAGAACTTATGTTTAGAGAAAGTGTCATACTAATGTACGCCAATGGATGCCTTTTTTTCATTAATACGAGCTCGAATTC